ATTTTTCATAACATATACAGTACGGAGTATTCAACAATATTGCGGAAGCGAATTTAATTTTGACATATCATAAATCATTTCAAACTTGTCACATCCATCCCGACAATCTCGCCCCATCTGCCGCCAGGATCACATTGTGCTTTCTGCTTACCTGCGTGTAGCAAATAAAACACACTACACGCTCAGCGGTAAAGCTGAGTAAGCATATCTAATGCGTCGAACATCCATATAAACTGAATCTAAATTCATAATCAAATCATTTGATATCATGCACACAATGTTCATTTCAGACATTCACAGTTTTGGTATTATTCAGTTCATATCAACACATTTTATTCAATTCAGATATTAATCCAATAGTGCTCTTAAATTATTCTTAATCTAAGGCCAGATCATAACAACGCTCTTAGCTATTCTTTGTCTAAGGCCAGATCATAACAACGCTCTTAGCTATTCTTAGTCTAAGGCCAGATCTTAAAAGTGTACCCTAACTGGGACCAAAATTAGTCCCAATCAGGGACTACACACCAAACGGTGCCCTGTTCAATTACGCCGATTCCAAATCGTCGCTCAATCACGGAAGCTGCAACCCATGTCTTCTTCCTTCCTCACTTGGCTATTTAAGGACAACCCAACTCCCTCATTTCATCACCAAAACAACTCATTCTTCCTTCTATATTGTTCCTTGCTGAGAGTAGAGTGCAGTGGTGCTGTCATCTATGTGTGAGGTCGCCGGAGCAGTGAGATAGAGTCGCCGGAAGGTTCGCCGGAAAATCTTCAAAACCTCCCTTACGCTTCAAGGTAAGCCCGTAGATATATCTAAAGATTAGAATGTTCATATAGGTTGTTTTTACATTCATAAATGATCATTTGGTTGAGTTTTGTGTTTGACATGTTTGAAGAACCAAGAATCATAAACCTTGAATTTGATGTTAAAAATATGTTTTAATGATTCTAAAATGATCTATGAACCTTGGAGAACATTTCTATATAATTTCATTGAAGTTTGGTAACTAAAATTGATATGTTCGAAAATGGACCGAAGGTAGAAGACGATGAACAGTGATCGAAAATCGATTATTTTCTTCCTAAGAATCGATTAAAACTTGTTCAGATAACGCGTATCAAAATAAAAAATAATAATAATCGATTATATTAAGGTATAAAATCGATTTTGGTATTTAATCGATTAAAATATATATTAAAATCGATTTTACAAATTTAATCGATTAAAATATGTTGAAAAATCGATTTCACAAATTTAATCGATTAAAATATGTTGAAAAATCGATTTTACAAAATTAATCGATTAAAATATGTTGAAAAATCGATTTTACAAATTTAATAGATTAATATATATTTAAAAATCGATTTTTATATTAATTTATTGAATAAATCGATTTTTCCTCAATTCCAGTGTCCCGAAAATATTCTTGGAAATATTCTTTGAAAATACTAATTAATTATGAACAATTTAAATATGATTTTGTATAATAAATGATGTTTTTGGCATATAAAACATTATGCGATGCATGACAATAAGTTCGGGTGTTAACACCTGATTATGAAAACAGTGTATATTGTTAAGGATATCTAGAAGAACTCTAAGATATACCCACTAGTATAATGATGATGAATATTAAGGATATCTAGAAAACTCTAAGATATACCTCCTTGACCAATTCATATTTCGGGGTTAAAACGTACGTACGGGATCCAGACCGGATATCACCCACCCGACAAATCATTGTTCGGTTGGTACGTAATCCACATGACTCATAGGGTGGATTATCTATTCTTGTGTTCTGCATTAAACTATTTATAGTTTAAGGGCCTGGTTAGAAATGTTGCCTTAGACTAGGAATAGCTAAGAGCTTGTTATAAAATGATTTGGCCTTAGATTAAGAATAATTTAAGAGCATGGTTGAGATATTGAATATCAAATGACTTGAAATAAAATATTGAGAATATCATGAATGTTTGAATCATATAT